CGTGGAAAACTCACCCATGCGCGTTGCGGCGCGGTTTCTTGGCGTCACCGCGGCGGCAGGGCGGAGCGAAAGGCGATGGCGTGCGCCTCGCCACTGTGCTCCGATTAGTAACTGCTTTTATGTGGAAGGAAATGGAGAGAAAAGAGGATTGAAAAATAGTGGATGCTTATAGGTGAGTTAGTGGTAGTGGTGAGAGAATACAGAAAAGTCGACTATCAGGGCGAATTACTTCAGTAAATGGCGGAAACTGGCGAAATAGTTCCCTTCGATTGTGAAAACGACGCAAACAGCTCTTACGCAAACGTTTAAGGTGAGGTTTGGCAAATTGCCAACAGTTGGTGTGACCTTATAACGGTATAACGTTTGCGTAGGAGCTGCTTGCGTGGTTTTCACAATCGAAAGGAACTATTTCGCCAGTTCGCCGTTGACTGAAGTAATACGCTCTGATACTCGACTTTTCTGTATTCTCTCACCACTACCACTAACACACCTATAAGCATCCACTATTTTTCAATCCTCTTTTCTCTCCATTTCCTTCCACATAAAAGCAGTTACTAATCGGAGCACAGTGGCGAGGCGCACGCCATCGCCTTTCGCTCCGCCCTGCCGCCGCGGTGACGCCAAGAAACCGCGCCGCAACGCGCATGGGTGAGTTTTTCTTCCTCCGGGGAACATCACATGAACGCAGGTTCTGCTTTCAACTACATCAGCACCATATATTCCTCTGAGTGGCTCCAAATGAACCACGACAGGAGCGAAAATTAGCCTGGCGGATATCCTGGCTTGACCCATCCTAATAAATACAAGGCGCTGTTCTATAGTGTAATTCGCTGCGGACGGTTGGGCGTGTCAGGCGGGATGAGTTTGGCGCGGTGCCAAACCCGTTCTCCACCAGTTGTTAAAGCGAGCAAATGTGACTGTATCATATCGTTCGTATTACTCGTTTTCTACCACTTTTTGTCGCATGCGCGCTTCAACAAGAAGGCAGAGAACGGCTTTGACGGTGTGACACTCATACTGCCTGACACGCCCAACCGTCCGCAGCGAACTAGAGTGTAATAAGGTGGTAAAGGTGCATACTGTTAACTAAAATCCTCACCCCCAAGGCAAGCAATAGTTTCTGATCATCGTGGCAGACCTTTCATTACAAAATAACTTGATTGTAGTATTCATAAATGCGATGCGTGTTCTGCCCAACTTCCTCCACTCTCAAACATCCCTCCTCCATTACAGGAGTAGCGCCACTTTATTCCATCATATTGAAGATCGGCAAATCATGGAATTGGAAGTATCTCAGGCAGGGGTATGCGACAGCAGTTGATAAAAAACGATGGTACGAACGATATGATACAATCTTCACTGGGAGACGGGCAAGAGAATCGTGAATTGCCGCTTCGCCGCGCGCGGCAATGGGCGCGACGTTTCCTTAATTTGCACTACCCTTTCGATTGGAGCATCGGATTTCACGTAGACAAGGACATAGTAGGGACACTTATGTCCATTTTTGGTTCCCGACCGACCGACATTGCCTATTTTCGACCAACTCACCCAAATCGTCGTCATTAGCGGTCGCGACGTCGCACGCGACGCCCACTGGCGCGGCGAATTACGATTCTTTTGCCACATATTCGTCTATAATTGCTCGCTCCAACAACCGTTGTAGAACAGGTGTAGCACCGCGCCATACTCATCCTGCCTGATACACCCATTCGCCCGCAGCGAACTAGACTATAGATTCCTAGTCGTATTTTCTGCGGTTCTCCCGAA